AGAGGCTTTATCCCACTGAGCCACCCAGGTGCCCCTTCAGTTGCATTTCTATACACCAACAACAAGACAGGAGAAATTAAGGAGTTGATCCCATTTTTTGGACCCAAAACCATAAGATACCTAGGAATAAATCTAACCAAAGAGGCAAACAAAGCATCTCTGAAAACTATAGAGTACTCACAAAAGAAATTGAGGAAGACACAAAGAAATGGAAAAACGTTCCATGCTCATGGAAGAACATTGTGAAAATGTCTATGTTACCTAGAGCAATCTACACATCTAATGCAATCCTTATTAAAAAACCATCAATTTTTTTCAAAGAAATGGGGCAAATAATCCTAAAATTTAAATGGAACCAGAAAAGACCCCAAATAGCCAGAGGAACACTGAAAAAGAAAAACCAAAGTTGATGGCATCACAATTCTAGGCTTCAAGGTCTATTACAAAGCTGTAATCATTAAGACAATATGGCACCGGCACAAAAAGAGACATATACGTCAACTGAACAGAACAGAGAGCCCAAAAATGGACCCTCAACTCTATGGTCAACTAATCTTCGACAAGGCAAGAAAGAATGTCCATGGAAAAAACACAGTCTCTTTAACAAATGTGTTGGGAAAATTAGACAGCCACATGCAGAAGAATGAAACTGAACCACTTCCTTACACCACACATAAAAATAGACTCAAAATGAATGAAAGACCTCAATGTGAGACAGGAATCCATTAAAATCCTTGAGGAGAACACAGGCAACAAACTCTTCGACCTCAGCCACAGCCAACTTCTTCCCAGACACATCTTCAAAGGCAAAAGTAAAAACGAACTATTGGAACTTTATCAAGATCAAAAGCTTTTGCACAGCAAAGGAAACAGTCAACAAAACCAAAAGACAACTGACAGAATGGGAGAAGATATTTGCAAATAATGTATCAGATAAAGGGCTAGCACCCAGAAATCTACAAAGAAATCAGATAAAGGGCTAGCACCCAGAAATCTACAAAGAACTTATCAAACTCAACACCCAAAGAACAAATAATCCAGTCAAGAAATGGGCAGAAAACATGAATAGACATTTCTGCAAAGAAAACATCCAAATGGCCAACAGACACATGAAAAAGTGCTCAACATCACTCAGCATCAGGGAAATACAAATCAAAACCACAGTGAGACACCACCTCACACCAGTCAGAATGGCTAAAATTAACCAGTGAGGAAATGACAGGAGTTGGCGAGGATGCAGAGAAAGGGGAACCCTCCTACACTGTTGGTGGGAATGCAAACTGGTCCAGCCTCTCTGGAAAACAGTATGGAGGTTCCTCAAAAAGTTGAAAATAGAGCTACCCTACGACCCAGCAATTGCACTACTGGGTATTTACCCTAAAGATACAAAGGCAGTGATCCAAAGGGGAATGTGCACCTGAATGTCTAGCAGCAATGTCCACAATAGCCAAACTATGGAAAGAACCTAGATGTCCATCAACAGAAGAATGGATAAAGAAGATGTGATATATATATATACAATGGAATACTATGCAGCCACCAAAAAAAATAAATCTTGCCATTTGCAATGACATGGAAGGAACTAGACGGTATTATGCTAAGCGAAATAAGTCAATCAGAGAAAGATAATTATCATATGATTTCACTGATATGAGGAATTTGAGAAACAAGACAGAGCATCATAGGGGAAGGGATGAAAAAATGAAACAAGATGAAACCAGAGAGGAAGACAAACAATAAGAGACTCTTAATCTCAGGAAACAAACTGAGAGTTGCTGGATGGAAGGGGAATAGGAGGGTTGGGGTGACTGGGTTATGTGCATCGGAGAGGGTACGTGCTATGGTGAGAAAAAATAAATAAAATAAAAGAATTAAATGAAGTATCACTTTGAGAAGAAAAAGTACAAAACATCATTATCACCAGATCTCCAAAGCCTATTCCGTTTACAATTTTTCCCCATAAACAAGTCTTTCCACCAGAAGCTGCAGTTCTAAAAATTCTGCTACCCTGTAAGGAGGGGAGTCTTCTCATCAGAATGAACCTCCAAAATGGCAAGCGATTAAGCATCTGAGCAAGATCTTCCAGGCAGACATCAGTGTCTCCTGAGTCACTGTAACGCCTCACTGAGAAGGCCAGAAACAGGAGGGCGTATTTTGAGACGCTGTATCATAGCGAAAAAAATAATAATTTTTGCGTATTTATTCTGGAGTTCCATGTTGGGGGGAGAATGAGAAAATAACAGAGAGACCCAAATTGAAGGACACTCTACAAAATTCCTAAGCAGTACTCTGAAAAGTGTCAAGGCAGGAAGGATGAGGGAAGACCCAGAAACTGTCAGAATGGAGGAGACAAAGGAGTCATGATGGCTAAAGGCAATCAGAAGTAAGCCAGACACCAACAGCCAACTGCTTTTTGACATGGGTACCAAGGCCATACAATCCCCGTTGAAACACTTGTCTTCAACCAGTGTGAAGATAACACAATAAACAACTGGAAGAACAGTCTCCTCAACCAACGGGGCTGGGACAACTCGATATTCACATGCAAAAACGAGGGAGTCAAACACCGGCCTCACATCATATATAAACATTAACTCAAAATGGATGAAAGGACTCAAAATGGATGTTAGAGCTGAAACTGTAAAACTCTTAGAAGAAAACATAAGGGGGAAAATTAGATTTGACACTAGATTCTTAGATATGACACCAAAAGTATAAGGAATAAAAAAAATAGAAAAAGCAGACTTCATCAAAATTAAAACTTTTGTGGCTCAACAGACTTTCTCCAGAAAGGGAAAAGACAACCTCCAGAATAGGAGAAGATATTTGCATGTATCTGAGAGTGGATTAGTATCTTGAATATAGAAAGAACCCTCACAACTGAACAACAAAAAGATGAAGAACACAACCAAAAAATGGGCATAGGATTTGAACAGGCATTTCGATTTGAACAGGCATTTCTCTTGAGAAGATATATAAATGGCTAACAAGCACAGAAGACGGTAACATCATGAGTCACCAGGGAAATGTAAATCCAATCCACAATGAGCCAGCACTTCCCACCTATTAGGATGGCTAGAATAAAAAATAAAAAAGGAAACTACAAGTGTTAGAAAGATCTGGAGACACTGGAACCCTTGTATGTTGCTGGTGGGAATGTAAAATGCGGCAGCCGCCGTGGAAAAGTTTGACAATTATTCAGAAGTTAAACATAAAATGACCTAGTAGCTTTACTCCTAGGTATATACCCAGAGAATGGAAAACAAGTACTCAAGTACATACGCGTTTATGGTAGTACTCCTTACAACTGCCAAGAGGGGAAAACAACCTAAACGTCCATCAACTGACGAATACACAAAATGTGGTCTATTCATACAATAAAATAGTATTCAGCCATGAAAAGGAACAAAGGGCTAACATAAGCTACAACTTAGATAAACCTTGAAAAAGCTACACTTAGTGAAAGAAGTCAGACACAAAAGGTCACATAGGATACTTCTTCCACATAAAACATCCAGAATACATAAATCCATTAGGGAGAGAAAGCAGATTGTGGCTGTGGTGCTTGAGGGAGAGAGAGGAGGGAGTAGAATGGGGAGTAATTATTTAATGGGCATACGGTAGCCTCTTAGGGGGTAAAATAATTTGGAAATACACACAGGAACTGAGTTTTGGAGGATAATACTCAAATATTAATGCTTTTCCCTGGATGGTGGTATTACGGCATCATCACTGGCTATGTCAGATATCTTAGACTTTTTTTTTTTTAAAGATTTTATTTATTTATTTGACAGAGAGAGATCACAAGCAGGCAGAGAGGCAGGCAGAGAGGGAGAAGGAAGCAGGCTTCCCGCCAAGCAGAGAGCCCAATGCGGGGCTTGATCCCAAGACCCTGAGACCATGACCTGAGCCAAAGACAGAGGCTCAACCCTCTGAGCCACCCAGGTGCCCCATCTTAGACTTTTTTAAAGTGAATCAGAAGAGAGATAAAGATGCCAGTTGTTTGGGCTTTTAAGAACCAAGAAGCCTGGTCTCCTTCCCTAAACAAACAGAAAACATATGTAATGAACAGGAACCTTCTGGAAATAAAGCCGTATTTCTACCTCTATTCTTGGCAGACAGAACTCTCCTGACTGCACCACTGCCAGCCAATATCATTTCTCAAATCGGAAGATAAGGAAATGCTTCCTGATGGATTTCAGCAGACAAGGTTTGAAAAAACATTTCCTATGGACTTCTGAACATAATTTTTGAATAGTTAAGGGAAACAAGGCTAGGGCACCTACCAAAAAGTAAGTGTTTACAACCCCAGGACACCAAGCAACTGAAAGAGTGCAGGCTTTCCACCCATATACTGGTCCCAAACCGGACTCTAGTTGCTTACCAGCAGAATGACCCTGAGAAAGTTCTTTGGCCTCCTTGAGCTTCTAAATGTATTTTTTATTTCACAAGGCCTGAATAAGGAAGAACATGGAAAACTCTGGAATGGTATCTGGCACGTGACTGCCATGGCCATTAGCCCCCAGCTTTTTTTTTAGCACTAAAAAACTGTGCCAGGGCACCTGGGTGGCTCAGTGGGTTAAGCCTCTGCCTTCAGCTCAGATCATGATCTCAGGATCCTGGGATCGAGCCCTGCATCAGGCTCTCTGCTCAGCAGGGAGCCCACTTCCCCCCCCCGCCCCCACTCTGCCTACTGCTCTGCCTATTTGTGATCTCTCTGTCAAACAAATAAATAGAATCTTTGAGATGGAGAGGAGAAAGGAGTTGAGGGAAACTGGAGGGGGAGATGAACCATGAGACTATGGACTCTGAAAAACAATCTGAGGGTTTTGAAGGGGCGAGGGTGGGAAGTTGGGTGAGCCTGGTGGTGGGTATTATGGAGGGCACGTATTGCATGGAGCACTGGGTATGGTGCATAACCAAAGAATTCTGGTACACTGAAAAGAAATTTAAAAAAAAACAAAACAAAACAAGAAACCACGCCAGGAGGAATCACTTACATGTACCAACTCTTCATCATCCCGTGCAGAGTAAATAGCAAACCTCCTTTCCAATGTCGTCTGCAGATCATCTCGCTCATTGGTTGAGAGGTCTGCATTCACTGTAAATGTACCAACGAACCTGAAGAGAAACCAGACATTCCCCATGTCACGGGTCAGGGCCAAGAGGAACACTCACTATCCTTTTATAGCCAAGAAAATCAGACGGGAGAGTCTCAAGAGGGAATCGGGAGCCCTGCTTGCCTCTGCTCTCATCTTCCCAGTCTGTGTGGCTGACCCCAGCTCCACTCAAGACCCCAGCAGAGTTCACACCTCCTTGGGAGGTGTACCTAAAGGACCATGCTTAGGTGCTCCATGCACCTAAAGGACCCAGCAGATCTCTTCTAAAGCACTCCTCACACTACCCTGATTACCTGGGGTGCACCTGTCTCCTCAGCCAGGCTGCGAGCTCTTCCAGGGCAGAGAACGTGCCTGACGTGTGTCTATCTTCAGGGCTGTGCACTCAAGGCCCAGCATAAGGGATCCCCTCAGGGAAGTCTGTGGAACTGCCCTGCCCCCAACCTCTTAGAGACACAAGTCCTACACTAGGGCTCTGCAGGACGGGCCAGAGGGCATACCATTTCACCAGGTTTGACAGGTAGCAGGCATCCACGTCCTGAGGTGGCACTCTGGTAAAACGAGCTGGGATGATGGACAGGCTGATAGCAAGTAGATCTGGCTGGCTGCAGATGTTACTTCGATAGAAACCATTTGCCAGCAAGCATAGCAGGTGAACCTGGGAAAAAGGGGAAGATGGTAGGCTGAGAACTAGAGGGTTTTCTGCTGCCAAACTGAGAGATATTTTGTGGGCAGGAATTATTTATTATTTCTATACACAAGAAAGTAAAAATCCCAACGTTAGCCATTTCCCAAGACCTTGTCTTTCATCCTGTGCTCTCCCTAGATACTTATTCCCTCGACAAAATAACCGAATCTCAAAACTACAGCATATAAACTTCTATATCTTAAGAGGCCTTGCCGTTTAGGATTTGCTCCAAAAACATTGGGAGGAAAAGTGAGACAGGGATGAGAAGGGAGAGACTGCGCAAGCGCCAGTAGCTGTCCAAGCTGGCGGATGGCGCGGGTTCACCACAGGGTTCTCTGCCCTTCCCTGGGTGCCAGGACCCAGCCACTTCTGCTGCAGACCCCAAAGCCAGCTGGCCCTGCTCCCAAGCTCCAACCGCTCCCCAACCTCCGGAGATGATCACGTGACTCCTCACCACCTCCTCCATAACCTTACATCCTTTTCCCTTCAGAACCGTCTGCCTCCTTCCCCATCTCTGACCTCCCCATTTCAGTCAACAGCTCCATTCTTCTCCCCTCACTTAAGCTTCCCATCTTAGAGTCATATGAACTCTTCCCTTCCTTCCATCTCTTCCAAAAGGTACAAGCAGCACAGCTATCTCACGTGCTCCTCAAGGCCTCAGGGAGGTGGGTGTCTCATCTCCTCACTGTCCTTGCTCTGAGCTCATCTCACTCCCAGATAGCTCTGTGGCTGCTGTAGACATACTGTCTCTTCCAGCCCTGTCAGCTCTTCCCACTCTGGCCGCTTGCTGCCCATCTGAGGGAAAGCTGAGTGCCCTTCCCTCACTCTCACGGGCCACCAATGCATGCACCCTCCATTACACAGATACACAGAGAACTAGAGGGCCCTCTGAACTTGTCACAGGCAGCCTCCCCAGCTTCTGTGCTCCCACCTCTCCCCAGTGGCCTCTCTCTTAAAGAAAGCCACCTTCCTCAGCCACTCAACCCACACCGTTCCCTTTCCTCATTCTGAGCCTTGAATTTCCTATTTTGACATCTGTCTTGTTCCGTCTGTGAGAACAGACATTCCTTAATGTTAGGAAATAAGCTTTCTACAAGTCTCCATCCCCACAATGCCAAGTACCTTGCTAGGTCTATAACGTGGTTCACTAACTGCTGGCTGAAGTCAAATACATGTCTCTTCAGTGGTGGTAAGAATGGAGGTTATGAGGGGCGCCTGGGTGGCTCAGTGGGTTAAAGCCTCTGCCTTCGGCTCAGGTCATGATCCCAGGGTTCTGGGATCGAGCCCCGCATCAGGCTCTCTGCTCAGCATCCTCCTCTCTCTCTGCCTGCCTCTCTGCCTACTTGTGATCTCTTGTCTGTCAAATAAATAAATAAATAAATCTTAAAAAAAAATGGAGGTTATGAGACAGGTGGAAGAAGGGATAAAGGGAGACTGCCCATGGGTCCGGCCCTCCTATGTGCCGGGTCTGTGCTCCGGACTTTGCATGTCATATTTGCTCCATCCCCACAACCCACCTCCAAGGCAGGCACTTATCACACCGCACCTCAAAGATGAGGAAACCACTCAGGGAGACAAAGAAACTGGCCAAGGTCACAGAGTGAGTAGAAGAGCCAAATAAAACCAGGCTTGACTGAGAACCAAAGCTGTGTGTACCACACCACCCTGCCATGACACAGAGGACCCTGTCCCTTCGCCTCCCACCCTTCCTTACCTTGTGCGTGTCCTCATGGACTTCTTTACTGAAACGTTTCATCATCCTCCGAAGATAGGTCTCAAACTCCACTTTTATCCTTTCACTGCCATGCATATTGAAAAATCCAAGAATGAAGTGGGACACTGACCCCTAGGCCCTGACCCCAGCCCCCCAGTCACACATCATGGCTTGTGACTCGCTCTCCTGGTTCTCCTATACAAGGCTGTGCTACTCGGGCACATCTGCAAGCTGGCTATTTTCCACAGACTTTTCTGCTCCTTCTCACCTGCACACCTTGGGTCAGGACACTCTCCACCCATCACGCCTCATGCACGTGCTTTGAGGCGCACATCCCCCAAAGAGTCTTCCCTGTCTGACTGACCTCCCGACTACTGACTCCCTCCTTTGCACCAGTACTTCCAGGCTAAATTGGTGTACACACATTTCTATGGTGCTGTGAAACCTTTCATGCCTGCATCCAGGCATCTGCCCTCCTCCTTCATGCCTAATGATGTACCCATCACAGAGTGGGACTCATTCGCCAACTGACCACCAGGCGTTTGTGTTCACATTCCCAAGCCACCAAAAGATGCAGCAGTCCTGGGAATCCTGGGATGGAATGGGGGCTCCCTACCACAGGGGGGCACTGCCTCAAATCGTGCAGGGTGATGTAATGTGAAAGCATGAGTGTCGAGTTGGCAGGAGAGGGATTTGATTCTTGGCTCAACTGCTTCCTAGCTGAGTGACTCCTAAAATGTTACATCTCTGAGCCTCCACATCTTCATTCACACACTATCTTCAAGTTTAAGTAAAACAAGAGACAACCTGCAGAGTCCTCAGCATACACCAGATGTTCAAGTTTCCTCTTCCCATGTCCTGCCACAGCCATAAAACAAACCAGGATTCTTGTTCAAGGCCTCAAGGTAAACCCAGGGCTCTCTCACCTAAGCCTGCTGACCACACTGGTACTCAGCCCCGGTCTCCTGTGTTTCTCAAAACCTTTCATTAAGTGTCAGCTCTTGCTCAATATGTGTGACAGGAACCTAGAGAGAAAGGCCTAATCTTACCTTCTTTCTCTTGCTTTAGCCTGTTGGGGTGTTTCGATCTCTATCTCCACTGGTTCCACAGGCAGGACAGATTCAAAGAAAGCTGTTTTTTCTCCCATGTCACCTGGCACAGGCTCACCAAGTTCTATCAACAATAATTTTTTAAAATCAGTAATAATAAGGGAACCTGGGTGGCTCAGTCGGTTAAGTGGCCATCTCTTGGTTTCAGCTCATGATCTCAGGGTTGTGGCATCGAGCCCTGCACTAGGCTCCATGCTCAGTGTGGAGTCTGCTTGAGATTCTCTCTTCCTCTCCCGCTGCCTCCCCCAACTGCTCTCTTCCTCTCTCTCTCTCTCCCTCTCTAAAATAAATATGTTTTAAAAATCTGTAATAATAATAATTATTATGATCACTATCATACTAAATAAAACGGAGGTTCTGAGGGGAGTGAAGAACAGATGAAATGTAGGAGACCCCTACTCCTGCAATGCTTTCAGTATCTCAAAAATGCCACAGACTGAGTTGTTGCACATTTATTTCTCATTTAATTCAAACAACACAGAGAAACAGCCCTTAGAGGAGGGAACTGAGGCACAGAAATACTGACTTGAATTCAGACCTCTGATATTAAAGATCTGATGTTAACGTTTGTGTTTTAGTAGAGACTCGGTCTTTCTCCAAGAGACAAAAACAACAACAAAGAAGCATAATTACTTATTCTTCTTACTACAATAATGCATATCACAATTTGCATCATATATAGGCATGATTTAGGGGTCTTGCAGCCCCAATCGCAATCTTGTAATGGTAAGGAATACATCCTTTTTATCTCTTTATCCTCTATATCGCTTATAAATGCTAGCTGAAATAAACTGAATTCGCTGAACTGGATCTAACTGTGAACGTTGTTAGCAAAGGCCCGGTCAAAGATGCTCTGGGCCCAGAAGGAGTGACACCACACTGGTGGCAATGAACACACCTAATGCCAAGATTTGGTTTCTACATGTCAGTCACTGATGAAATGAGCGAGGGGTTGCTGGAGAAACAAAAGCTGATCATAGGTCTGGAGCAAGAAGAATATAGGATGGGCCTGGAACATCTTCTTGTGCCAGAGAACAAAAACGTTCTCAAAAACGTTTTTGAGGTCCAGAGGATGCAAGACCGCAGAGCAGTAGGAGACTGAAATATCTTTAGGTCCTAGCAGTTCAGCTAGATAGTTATCAAACCATTTTTAACACCTACAAACTCAACAAGAGATAGAAGAGAAGAAGAGCAGCGATTCCAGGAACAGAAAATCAACCACTTCCCAGAAGGCAGGATGTGGGGGGAAAAGTAAATCCGAAGCAATGGGAAGACAGACCCCAGGGGAACGGGCTGGCTCCCGGCGAGTGGTGAAGCAGCACAAAATCGGAACTTTAAGAAGTCTGCTCCACTGAGGGACATCGCTTCAGAGGCTAAGCAGGGGGTGGAGCCCTGGCGGGGACAGTGTGGTCTCAGAACACGCGGGCTCACAGAAAGACTGGGGGTGTCTGAGTGTGGCAGAGCTCCCAGGTATTAGAGAGGGGAAACTGGCTACAGAGACAGACCAAGGAGTGGGCTCTCAGCTCACGGTTAATTTAAACTGTGATCCATGGCACAGTCAGATCACTGCTCTTCCAGCAGGGACCCCACAAGTGGCAGATATGGAGAGACTCCCTCCTTCCTCCAGAAGGAGCAACACGGGAGTGCGAGCAGGAATCTGCTGGGTTTGGAGAATCCAAACAGGGCCGTGTACCAGAAATAGAAATGCTCAGTCATAGGCTGGGTGAGCGTGGAGTGCAGCCGGAGACCAGGGAGGCAGGAAGGATTGAATGCTTTTCTCTGGGCACACTGAGGAATGGGGCCCCGAGCTCTCAGCTCCTCTGGGATGGAGACTGGGAGGCTGCCATCCTCATTCCCATCCTTCAAAGCTGTATGGAAAGTATTCAGGGAACAAAAGCTACCAAAAGTGAACCCAAGCAGATTGCTTAGCCTGGCCCCTGGCAAGTGTGGTGCAATTCCACCACAGGCAAAGAGATTTGAGAATTACGGCAACAGGCACCTCCCCCAGAAGATCAGCAAGAACATCCAGCCAAGACCACATTCACTGATCAATGAGAACCGCAGAACTCCAGAGCTAGGGGAAAGCAAAACACAGAATTCGTGGCTTTTTTCCCATGATTCTTTAGTCTTTCAAAGGTAAATTTTTGTAATTTTATTTTTTCTTATTCTATTTTCTTAACTTTTCCTCTTCCCTTTTTAACATTTTTAACTATTTTATCTTATCGATAACTTTTTTAAAAAACCTTTAAATCTCCATTGTTATAGTCATATTTTCTCTTCATATTTCACCTTATTTTAAGTATACTATAGGCTCTTTTTTCTTTAAAATTTTGGGATACAATTTCTTCTAACAAATCAAAATATACCATAAATCTTGTCTCCAACCTAATCACATTGTTCCCTCTTTTTTTGACTTTTCCTTTTTCAAACCAACTTAACAATTCCTTTTCTAGAATCATTTTTAATTTTCATCTTTACATTCATATTCCATCCTTTCATTGCATTTACCCTTTTATGTATATATGTAAGTTTTTCTTTCTTTAAAATTTTGGGAGGCAGTTTCTTCTAAAAGACCAGAATACAACCAAAATCAAGTGGGTGGCTCTGTTCTATTCACCAGTCAAATAAATTCTCCCCATTCTTCTCCCCCCAGTTTCAGGTCTCTTCCAAATTGGTTAGTGTCTATTTTTCTGAGGTCTTTGCCACACGTTTAGTATTTTGTTATCTCATTCACCTATTCCTATCTAGATAAAATGACAAGGCAGAGAATTCACCACAAAAAAAGAACAAGAGGCAGTACCAACAGTTAGGGACCTAATCAATACAGACATTAGTAAGTTGTCACAACTAGAGTTCAGAATAATGATTATCAAGGGGCTAGCTGGGCTCGAAAAAAGCATGGAATATGTTAAAGAATCCCTTTCTGGAGAAATAAAAGCCCTTTCTGGAGAAATAAAAGAACTAAAATCCAACCAAACTGAAATCAAAAAAGCTATTAATGAGGTGCAATAAAAAATGGAGGCTCTTACTGCTAGGATAAATTAGGTAGAAGAGAGAACTAGTGATGTAAAAGACCAAATGATGGAGAATAAAGAAGCTGAGAAAAAGAGAAACAACTACTGGGCCGCGGGGGGAGAAATCGAGAGGTAACTGATACCGTAAGATGAAACAATATTAGAATAATTGGGATCCCAGAAGAAGAAGAAAGAGAGAGTGGGGCAGAAGGTATATGGGTGCAAATTATAGTAGAAAATTTCCCTAATATGGCAAAGGGAACAAGCATCAAAATCCTGGAGGCACAGAGAACCCCCCTCAAAATCAATAAAAATAGATCAACACCCCATAATCTAACAGTAAAACTTACAAGTCTCAGTGACAAGGAGAAAATCCAGAAAGCACCTAGGGACAAGAGGTCTGTAACCTACAATGATAAAAATATTAGATTGGCAGCGACTTATCCACAGAGACCTGGAGGCCAGAAAGGACTGCCATGATATATTCAGAGCACTAAATGAGAAAAACATGCAGCCAAGAATACTATATCCAGCTAGGCTGTCACTGAAAATAGAAGGAGAGATAAAAAGCTTCAAACAAAAATTAAAAGAATTTGCAAACACCAAACCAGCCCTAAAAGAAATATTGAGGGGTCCTCTAAGCAAAGAGAAAGGCTAAAATAACAGACCAGAAAGGAACAGAGACAATATACAGTAACAGTCACCTTACAGGCCATAAAGTGGCACTAAATTCGTATCTTTCAGTTGTTACCCTGAATGTAAATGGGCTAAATGCCCCAAGCAAAAGACACACGGTATCAGAATGGATAAAACAAACAAGACCTATTGATACACTGTTTACAAGAAACTCATTTTAGACCCAAAGACACCTCCAGATTTAAAGTGAGGGAGTGGAAAACAATTCACCATGCTAATGGACATCAAAAGATAGCTGGGGTGGCAATCCTTTTATCAGATAAATTAGATTTTAAGCCAAAGACTATAATAAGAGCTGAGAAAGGACACTATATCATACGCAAACGGTCTGTCCAACAAGAAGATCTAGCAATTTCAAATATCTATGCCCCTAACATGGGAGCAGCCAACTATATATACCAATTAAAAACAAAATCAAAAAAACACATCGACAACAATACAATAATAGTAGGGGACTTTAACACCCCCCTCACTGAAATGGACAGATCATCTAAGCAAAAGATCAACAAGGAAATAAAGCCTTTAAATGACACACTGGACCCGATGAACCACACAGATATATTCAGAACATTCCATCCCAAAGCAACAGAATACGCATTCTTCTCTAGTGCACATGGAACATTCTCCAGGAGAGATCACATCCTGGGTCACAAATCAGGTCTCAACTGGTACCAAAAGACAGGGATCACTCCCTGCCTATTTTCAGACCACAGTGCTCTGAAACTAGAACTCAACCACAAGAGGAAAGTTGGAAAGAACTCAACTACATGGAGGCTAAAGAGCATCCTACTAAACGATGAGTGAGTCAACCAGGAAATTAAAGAAGAATTTTTAAAAGTCATGGAAACAAATGAAAATGAAAACACAACTGTTCAAAATCTTTGAGACACAGCAAAGGCGGTCCTGAAAGTATACAGCAATATAAGCCTTTCTCAAGAAACAAGAAAATCTCAAGTACACAACCTAACCCTACACCTAAAGGAGCTGGAGAAAGAACAGCAAAGAAAGCCTAAACCCAGCGGGAGAAGAGAAATAATCATCAGAGCAGAAATCAATGAAATAGAAACCAAAAGAATACTAGAACAAATCAAACAAACTAGGAGCTGGTTCTTTGAAAGAATTAATAAGATTGATAAACCCCTAGCCAGACTTATCAAAAAGAAAAAAGAGAAGGGACCCAAATTAATAAAATCATGAGTGAAAGAGGAGAGATCACAACCAACACCAAAGAAATAAAAACAATTACAGGAACATATTATGAGCAACTATACACCAGCAAATTTGACAACCTGGAAGAAATGGATGCATTCCTAGAGACCATATGAACTACCACAACTGAACCAGGAAGAAGTAGAAAACCTGAACAGACCCATAACCAGTAAGGAGATTGAAGCAGTCAATAATAATCTCCCAACAATCAAGAGCCCAGGGCCAGACGACTTCCCAGGGGAATTCCACCAAACATTTAAAGAAGAATTAACGTCTATTCTCCTGAAACTGTTCCAAAAATCAGAAACAGAAGGAAAACTTCCAAACTCATTTTATGAGGCCAGCATTACCTTGATCCCAAAACTAGACAAAGACCCCATCAAAAAGGAGAATCACAGACCAATATCCTTGATGAACACAGTAGCAAAAATTCTCAACAAAATACTAGCCAATAGGATCCAACAGTACATTCAAAGGATTATTCACCACGACCAAGTGGGATTTATTCCTGGGCTGCAACGGTGCTTCAATACCCACGAATCAATCAGTATGATACAATGCATTATTAAAAGAAAGAACAAGAACCATATGATACTCTCAATAGATGGTGAAAAAGCATCTGACAAAGTACAGCATCCTTTCTTCATCAAAACTGCTCAAAGAGTACAGAGAGAGGGTACATACCTCGATATCATCAGAGCCATTTATGAAAAACCCACAGTGAATATCATCCTCAATGGGGAAAAAACTGAGAGCTTTTCCCCTAAGGTCAGGAACACGACCTTAACGGCTGTCCACTATCACTACTGCTATTCAAATAGTACTAGAAGTCCTAGTAATCAGACAACAGAGAGCAAACAACAATCAAACAACAGACAACAAACGGCAATCAGACAACAAAAAGAAATAAAATGCATCTGAAATGGCAATGAAGAAGTTAAACTCTCACTCTTTACAGATGATATGATACTTTTTGTGGAAAACCCAAGACTCCACTCCAAATTGCTAGAACTCATACAGGAATTCAGTACAGTGTCAGGACATAAAATCAATGCACAAAAATCAGTTGCATTTCTATACACCAACAGCAAGACAGGACAAATTAAGGATTCAATCCCATTTACAACTGTACCCAAAACCATATGATAGTTAGGAATAAACCTAACCAAAGAGGCAAAGAATCCGTATTCAGAAAACTATAAAGAACTCATGAAAGAAATTGAGGAAGACACAAAGAAATGGAAAAACATTCCAACCTCATGGACTGGAAGAACAAATATTATAAAAATGTCTATGCTACCTAAAGCAATCACCACATCTAATGCAATACCTACCAAAATACCATCAAATGTTTTCAAAGAAGTGGAACAAATAATCCTAAAATTTATATGGAACCAGAAATGGGTTCCATGCATATTCCATACATACATATATATGTATAATTCACTCATATATATATGCCATAAATATATACATATATATATACATATGCCATATATGCATATATATGGAATATGTAATGAACCCATTTATATATATACGGAATATGGCTAGTCCATAATAGCCAGAGGAATGTTGAAAAAGAAAGCCAAGGTTGGTGATGTCACAATTCCAGACTTCAAGCTCTATTACAAAGCTGTAATCATCAAGACAGTATGGTACTGGCACAAAAACAGACACATAGATCGAGAAATAGACTCTCAACTCTATGGTCAACTAATCTTCAACAAAGCAGTAAAGAACGTCCAATGGAAAAAAGTCCCCTCAACTAATGGTGTTGGGAAAACTGGAGAGCCACATGCAGAAAAATGAAAACTGGACCATTTCCTTATACCACACACAAAAACAGACTCAAAATGGATGAGGGACCTCCATGTGAGACAGGAATCCAGCAAAACCCTTGAGAACACAGGCAGCAACCTCTTCGACCTCAGCTGCAGCAACTTCTTCCTAGAAACATTGCTAAGGACAAGGGAAGGAAGGGCAAAAATGAACTATTGGGACTTCATCAAGATCAAAAGCTTTTGCACAGCAAAGGAAAGAGAAAAACCAAAAGACAACTAACAGAATGGGAGAAGATATTCAAAAATGACGTATCAGATAAAGGACTAGTATCCAAAATCTATAAAGAACTTATCAAACTCTACACCCAAAGAACAAATAACCCAGTCAAGAAATGGGCAGAAGGGGTGCCTGGGTGGCTCAGTGGGTTAAAGCCTCTGCCTTCAGCTCAGGTCATGATCCCAGGGTCCTGGGATCGAGCCCCGCATCAGGCTCTCTGTTCAGCAGGGAGCCTACTTCCTCCTCTCTCTCTGCCTACTTGTGATCTCTGTCAGATGAATAAAATCTTTAAGAAAAAAAAAAAAAGAAAAAAGAAATGGGCAGAAGACATGAACAGCTATTTCTGCAAAGAAGACATCCAGAAAGCCAAGAGACACATGAAAAGGTGCTCAAAATCACTTGGCATCAGGGAAATACAAATCAAAACCACAATGAGATACCACTTCACAGCAGAGGATGTGGAGAAAGTAGAACCCTCCTACACTGTTGGTGGGAATGCAAGCTGGTGCAGCCACTCTGGAAAACAGCATGGAGGTTCCTCAAAAAGTTGAAAACAGAGCTACCCTAGACCCAGCAATCACACTACTGGGTATTTACCCCAAAGATACAAAAGTAGTGATCCAAAGAGGCACATGCACCCGAACGTTTATAGTAGCAACGCCCACAATAGCCAAACTATGGAATGAACCTATATGTCCATCAACAGATGAATGCATAAAGAAGTTGTAGTGTGTGTATATGTGTGTGTATATATATATTTTTTTCAATGGAATACTATGCTGCCATCAAAAGAAATGAAATCTTGCCATTTGCAACGACATGGATGGAACTAGAGGATATTATGTTAAGCGCAATAAGTCAATCAGAGAAAGACAATTATCATACGATTTATCTGATATGAGGAATTTGAGAGGCAGGGAGGGGATTATGAGGGATAGGGAAGGAAAAAATGAAAAAAGATGGGATCAGGAGGGAGAAAAACCATAAGAGACTCTTAATCTCACTAAAAAAACTAAGCATTGCTGTAGGGTGGAGGGGGATAGCGCGAGGGTGGTGGGGTTATGGACATTGGGGAAGGTATATGCTATGGTGTGTGCTATGAAATGTGTAAGCCTGATGCTTCACAGACCAGTACCCCTGGGGTAAATAATACATTTTATGTTAATGAAAATAAAAAATAAATTAAAAAAAGAAAAACGTTTTTGAGAATGAGGCCATGTCAGAAGGACACAGTAAGGCACAAGGCTTAAAGGGGCTCTCACTAGCCAAATCGGGGACAATCTGAAGATCAACAAGTATAATGATGATAACTGATAACATCTGTGAGTTTTAAAAATATCTCTAAGTCCATAGTGATACTCAAAATAAATATAATTTAAAAGAGAGAGCTCTTCTTTACAGATCACAGTCACCTGAGAAATTCATAGGAGATGACAGAATCAGAGAGTCCCATTTCATGATGCTCAATATAATAATCTGATTCAGTAAAGATCAAAGCATATGAAAAACTGTTAAATAAAAAGTTACTAGAGAATAAGATATTCACACAGAATCACAGTATCACCTGATATGGTTAATTACAGAAGGAAAATGTACCTTTATATTGTCACAATCTGGCAGAACCACCTTGTACAATCACACTTAGCATCACTAGTGGGGCAAACTGACATTAGGAGCCTCTTAATGGATGCAGTATGAAATACAAAGCTATGAAGTATACTTGCTCCCCCAAAAAAGTTTAACCTAAATTCGATCAAGCCTTCACTTACAGTTTATAAGAAACCAGGGTATACTGAAACAAGTTTTCCACCACCCTGAGATGCATATCACACAAAACTGGAATCAAAGACATCCCACAAGAGAATAGACCAGGACTCTTCAAAAAACAGCAGTGCCACAAAAAGAAAAAAAAAAAAAAGGTGCAGGGTGGGACACACTGTTCTAAACTAAAGGAGACTAAAGAGGTATAACTCACACTTTGATTAGATGCTGGATTAGAAACAAACAATGGCTATGAAGGATATTTTTGCAACAATTAGGGGCTTTTCATTTTCTTAAGTGTGAAACTATTTTATCACGCAGGAGAACATCTTAGTCTTAGGGGAACTGATGAAGTATTTACAAGTCAAGTACCAGGATGTCTACAACTTACTTTCAAATGGTTCCACGCTGCATATTTACAGAGAAAGATACATTTGCTACCGGCAAATGTTAAAGTTACTGAATCTAAGTGAAGAGTCCATGTACTACATTTTCCATTATTTTGTAGGTTTTCAAAAATCATTTTCAAAATCAAAAGCTGAGATAAAGTTAGCACAGACAGAAGGAATCAGGGATGATAACATTAGCTGCCACTTACTGTGAGCACATAATGCTTTAGGCCCGTTACATTTGCTGACCTTTCTTCCTCTGCTACCTGCAGCCTAGCCTGTAAACAGCTCACACTGAGCTGTCAATGCTTACTGAATGTTATTGGTGAAAAATCTCTGATTTTTTCAGAGTGAATTTACTTGTTCACACAGCTATACAAGTAGCAAGGCTGGGCCCTGAACCCAGCTCTCACTCTCAAAGCCCATGCGCTTTCTGAGACAATGCTGCCTCTCTGTTTCACAATCTCCTCCACTGACAGCCACAAGAGGAAGAGAATATACAACCTTCTTTGGTAATCTGGTCATGAATTTGCCTTTGCATCAAAAGCAAGTCCCTACTGTAACCTTATTTGGTCTTAGTTTCACAAGGAAACAAAAGAACTGCAACTAAATGATGTGACTCCAAGCAGATTCAAACGGAAAAACAGGATCACACAGCAATGTTTTACCTTCGACTTCTTCCCAATCATCTTCGCTTTCTTCCTCATTGTCTCCTTCACAGCTGCCTTTGTCCACAGCAGCTTCTCTCCGTGGGGGCTGTGCCTTCTTGCTGCCTTTTGTGAAGTCCCTGTGTAAAGATCACAGGAAGGAAGGTGAAGAAGGCTCACACATCCTAGTGCTACATTTAAGCTAAATGGAATCCTAAGGACTCCTTCTATTTATTGAGACCCTGTTGCAATTACTTAAAGATAATGGGTGAGCTCTGAGCCTCATTCCCTCCACTAAAGGTCTCAAGGGCTCCTCGAGACGAGCTCTGATCATCAGTCTAATACTAGATGTGCTGCCAAAAAGAAAGCATGCAATGAACCTAAAGCCTAGAGCTGTGTCAGGGAAAACAGGGCTGTGCCTTGAAGTGGTACAGGAGTAAGAAGAAACCACAATAACATTTTAAGTTCCAGAAGTAAAAGCTGGGATATGGATTATACATGCACAGGTGGACACCACATTGAAGAAGAGGGCATTCACATTTGCTGATCATACCAGCAACTCAGATGACTGTTTCTCCCCACCTCTACAATGTAAGGAAATGGAAGCTGGTAGAATTCTAACCGCAAGGTATGTGGGGATGTGTCCATACATAGGTATGTCACAAGTAACAACAAAAACAAAAATAACTAGCTAGTTAAGTAGGTACCAACACAGATAAGCAGCAAGCTGAATACTGACTGAAGATACAATGGTTGCTAATAATGTAATCCATTTTCGCAATTTCATATATAAAATGTGCTTGGGGGGAGAGGAGTCAAGATGGCGGAGAAGTAGCAGGCTGAGACAACATCAGGTAGCAGGAGATGAGCTAGACAGCTTATCAAAACATTCTGAACACCTACAAATCCAACAGGAGATCGAAGAGAAGAAGAGCAATAATTCTAGAAACAGAAAATCGACCACTTTCTGAAAAGTAGGACCCGCAAAGGAGCGAATCCAAAGTATCAGGAAGATAGACCGCAGGGGGAAGGGCCCAACCCCAGCCAGCGGCAGAACAACGGAGCACAAAATCAGAACCTTCAGAAGTCTGCTCCACTGTGGGACTTCACTCCAGAGGTTAAGCCGGGGTGAAGCTTACATGGGGACAGCATGGCCTCAGGTCCCGCAGGGTCACAGAAGGATCGGGGCTGTCTGAGTGTTGCAGAGCTCACAGGTATTAAAGCGGGGAAGCCAGCTACAGAGACGGATCCGAGGAGTGAGCTCTCAGCTCGGGGTTACCTTAAATCGTGATCTGTGGCACAGGCCACTGTTTTGTGAGCAGGGACCCCACAAGATCCGGGGAGACCCCTTGGAAGAGCTCAGGTATCTGTGGGGTTCGGAGACTCCAGGTGGGGCTGTGTGCCAGAGACAGAGATGCTGGGTCACAGGCTGGGTCAGCTCGGAGCACACCGGGAGCCCAGGGAGACAGGAGTGATTGAGCACTTTTCTCCCAGGGCGCATTGAGGAGTGGGGCCCTGAGCTCTCAGCTCCTCCGGGCTGGAGATTTGGAGGCGGCCACTTTCATTCCTGTCCTCCAGAACTCTACGGAAAGCGCAAAACATTCAGGGAACAAACGCTCCTGAAAGCGAACCCCAGTGGATTACTTAGCCTGGCCCCTGGTAAGGGCGGTGCAATTCCGCCTCAGGCAAAGACACTTGAGAATCTCTACAACAGGCCCCTCCCCCAGAAGATCAACAAGAAATCGAGCCAAGACCAAGTTCACTTACCAGGAGAACAGCAGAATTCCAGAGGAGGAGAAAGCAAAGCATGGAATTCATGGCTTTCTCCCCATGATTCTTTAGTCTTGCAAAGTTAATTAATTTTTTTAATTTTATGTTTTTTCTTCTGCTAAATTTTTTTTACCTTCTACCCTTTCCTCTTTTAACATTTTTTACCTAGTTTAACTTAACAATACCTTTCATTAAAAAAAATTCTGTTTTGAGCCTTCATTATTATAGTCATATTTTATCCTTCATTTTTAGCTAACTTTATTTTTTGTATACACATAGGGTTTTTCTTCTAAAAAAATTTGGGGTACAACTTCTTCTAATAGATCAAAATGCACCCTTAATCTACACAGGGATTTGTTCTAGTCTTCAGCCTGAGCAAATTCTCTCCACTTTCTTTTTCTTTATTCTCCCAAACAACTTATCTTATCAACTCCTTTTTCAGAAATTAAAAAAAAAAAAAAATTTCACCTTTATAGTCATATTCCAACCCTTCATTGTGTTTACCCTTGTTTATGTTTCTCATTCTTTTATTTTGGAAGGTAGTTTCTTCTAAGAGACCAAAATACTCCCAAAATTAAGTGGGTGACCCTGTTCTAGTCACCAGTCTAATATAAATATATTTTTTTCTTTTTTACATTTGTTTTCTTTTTTAATTTTTTTTTTCTGAAATTCTTTTTACCACTTTTCTCCCCCTGATGATTTGGGGTCTCTTCTGATTTGGTTAAAGCACATTTTCCTGGGGTCTTTGTCACCCTTTTAGTATTTTATTTGCTCCTTCATATATTCTTATCTGGACAAAATGACAAGGCAGAAAAACTCACCACAAAAAAAAGAACAAGAGGTAGTACCGAAGGCTAGGGACCTAATCAATACGGACATTGGTAATATGTCAAATCTACAGTTCAGAATGATGATTCTCAAGGTTCTAGCCGGGCTCAAAAAAGGCATGGAAGATATTAGAGAAACCCTGTCTGGAGAAATAAAAGCCATTTCTGGAGAAATAAAAGAACTATGATCTAACCAAGTTGAAATCAAAAAAGCTATTAATGAGGTGCAATCAAAAATTGAGGCTCTTACTGTTAGGATAAATGAGGCAGAAGAAAGAATTAGTGATATAGAGGACCAAATGACAGAGAATAAAGAAGCTGAGCAAAAGAGATACAACTACTGGACCATGAGGGGAGAATTCGAGAGGAAAGTGATTACCGTAAGACAAAACAACATTAGAATAATTGGGATTCCAGAAGAAGAAGAGAGAGGGGAGCAGAAGGTATATTGGAGAGAATTATTGTAGAGAATTTCCCTAATATGGCAAAGAGAACAAGCATCAAAATCCAGGAGGTGCAGAGAACCCCCCTCAAAATCAATAAGGATAGGTCCACACCCCATCATCTAATACTAAAATTTACAAGGCTTAACAACAAAGAATATCCTGAAAGCAGCCTGGGACAAGGCTGTAACATACAATGGTAAAAATATTAGATTGGCAGCAGACTTATCCACAGAGACCTGGCAGGCCAGAAATAACTGGCACGATATATTCAGAGCACTAAACGAGAAAAACATGCAGCCAAGAATACTATATCCAGCTAGGCTGTCATTGAAAATAAAAGGGGAGATAAAATGCTTCCAGGACAAAGAAAAACTGAAGAATTTGCAAACACCAAACCAGCTCTACAGGAAATATTGAGAGGGGTCCTCTAAGCAAAGAGAGACCCGAAAAGTAGTAGATCAGAAAGGAACAGAGAAAATATACAGTAACAGTCACCTTACAGGCAATACAATGGCACTAAATTCATATCTCTCAATAGTTACCCTGAATGTAAATGGGCTAAATGTCCCAAGCAAAAGACACACGGTATCAGAATGGATAAAAAACCAAAACCCATCAATATGCCTACAAGAAACTCATTTTAGACCCAAAGACACCTCCAGATTTAAAGTGAGGGGGTGGATTTACCATGCTAATGGACATCAAAAGAAAGCTGGGGTGGCTATCCTTATATCAGATAAATTAGATTTTAAACCAAAGACTCTGATAAGAGATGAGGAAGGACACTATATCATACTCAAAGGGTCTGTCCAACAAGAAGATCTAACAATTTCAAATATCTATGCCCCTAACGTGGGAGCAGCCAACTATATAAACCAATTAAAAACAAAATCAAAGAAACACATCAACAACAATACAATAATAGTAGGGGACTTTAACACTCCCCTCACTGAAATGGACAGATCATCCCAGCAAAAGGTCAACAAGGAAATAAAGGCCTTAAATGACACACTGGACCAGATGGACATCAGATATACTCGGAACATTCCATCCCGAAGCAACAGAATACACATTCTTCTCTAGTGCACATGGAACATTCTCCAGAATAGATCACATCCTGAGTCATAAACCAGGTCTCAACTGATATCAAAAGATTGGGATCACTCCCTGCATATTTTCAGACCACAATGCTCTGAAGCTAGAACTCAATCACAAGAGGAAATTTGGAAAGAACTCAACTACATGGAGGCTAAAGAGCATCCTACTAAATGATGAGTGAGTCAACCAGGAAATTAAAGAAGAATTGAAAAATTCATGGAAACAAATGATAATGAAAACACAACGGTTCAAAATCTGTGGGACACAGCAAAGGCAGTCCTGAGAGGAAAATACATAATGATACAAGCCTTTTTCAAGAAACAAGAAAGGTCTCAAATACACAACCTAACCCTACACCTAAAGGAACTGGAGAAAGAACAACAAAGAAAGCCTAAACCTGAAGGAGAAGAAAAATAATAAAGATCAGAGCAGAAATCAATGAAATAGAAACCAAAAAAACAATAGAACAAATCAACGGAACTAGGAGCTGGTTCTTTGAAAGAATTAATAAGATTGATAAACCCTTGGCCAGACTTATCAAAAAGAAAAGAGAAGGGACCAAATTAATAAAATCATGAGTGAAAGAGGAGAGATCACAACCAACACCAAAGAAATACAAACAATTATAAAAACATAATATGAGGGCGCCTGGGTGGCTCAGTGGGTTAAGCTGCTGCCTTCAGCTCAGGTCATGATCTCAGGGTCCTGGGATCGAGTCCCGCATCGGGCTCTCTGCTCAGCAGGGAGCCTGCTTCCCTTCCTCTCTCTCTGCCTGCCTCTCTGCCTACTTGTGATCTCTGTCTGTCAAATAAATAAATAAAATCTTTAAAAAAAAAAAAAAAAGAACACAATATGAGCAACTCTACGCCAACAAATTTGACAATCTGGAAGAAATGGATGCATTCCTAGAGACCATATAAACTACCACAACTGAACCAGGAAGAAACAGAAAACCTGAGCAGACCCATAACCAGTAAGGAGATTGAAACAATCATCAAAAATCTGCAAACAAACAAAAGCCCAGGGCCAGATGGCTTCCCAGGGGAATTCTACCAAACATTTAAAGAAGAATTAATTCCTATTCTCCTGAAACCATTCCAAAAAATAGAAATGGAAGGAAAACTCCCAAACTCATTTTATGAGGCCAGCATTATCTTGATCCCAAAACCAGATAAAGATCCCATCAAAAAAGAGAATTACAGACCAATATCCTTGATGAACACAGATGCAAAAATTCTCACCAAAATACTAGCCAAAAGGGGCACCTGGGTGGCTCAGTGGGTTAAAGCCCCTGCCTTCAGCTCGGGTCGTGATCCCAGGGTCCTGGGATCGAGCCCCGCATCGGGCTCTCCGCTCAGCGGGGAGCCTGCTTCCTCCTCTCTCTCTCTGCCTGCCTCTCTGCCTACTTGTGATCTGTCTGTCAAATAAATAAAATCTTAAAAAAAAAAAAAATACTAGCCAAAAGGATCCAATAGTACATTCAAAGGATTATTCACCACGACCAAGTGGGATTTATTCCAGGGCTGCAAGGTTGATTCAACATCCACAAATCAATCAATGTGATACAATACATTAATAAAAGAAAGAACAAGAACCATATGATACTCTCAACAGATGCTGAAAAAGCATTTGATAAAGTACAGAATCCCTTCCTGATCAAAACTCTTCAAAGTGTAGGGATAGAGGGTACATACCTCAATATTAATCAAAGCCACCTATGAAAATCCAACAGCAAATATCATTCTCAATGGAGAAAAACTGACAGCTTTTCAGCTAAGGTCAGGAACATGGCAGGGATGTCCATTATCACCACTGCTATTCAACATAGTACTAGAAGTCCTAGCCTCAGCAATCAGACAACAAAAAGAAATTAAAGGCATCCAAATTGGCAAAGAAGAAGTCAAACTCTTTGCAGATGATATGATACTATATGTGGAAAACCCAAAAGACTCCACTCCAAATCTGCTAGAACTTGTACAGGAATTCAGTAAAGTGTCAGGATATAAAATCAATGCACAGAAATCAGTTGCATTTCTCTACACCAACAACAAGACAGAAGAAAGAGAAATTAAGGAGTCAATCCCATTTACAATTGAATGCAAAACCATAAGATACCTAGCAGTAAACCTAACCAAAGAGGCAAGGAATTTGTACTCAGAAAACTATAAAGTACTCATGAAAGAAACTGAGGAAGACACAAAGAAATGGAAAAATGTTCCATGCTCACGGATTGGAAGAACAAATATGGTGAAAATGTCTATGCTACCTAAAGCAATCTACACATTTAATGCAATCTCTATCAAAATACCATCCATCTTTTTCAAAGAAATGGAACCAATACTCCTAAAATTTATATGGAACCAGAAAAGACCTTGAATAGCCAAAGGAATATTGAAAAAGAAAGCCAAAGCTAGTGGCATCACAATTCCGGACTTCAAGCTCTATTACAAAGCTGTCATCATCAAGACAGTATGGTACTGGCACAAAACAGATACACAGATCAATGGAACAGAATAGAGAGCCCAGAAATAGATCCTCAACTCTATGGTCGACTAATATTCGACAAAGCAAGAAAGAATGTCCACTGGAAAAAAAACAGCCTCTTCAACAAATGGTGTTGGGAAAATTGGACAAAAAAATGAAATTGGACCAGTTCCTTACACCACACACAAAAATAGACTCAAAATGGATGAAGGACCTCAATGTGAGAAAGGAATCCATCAAAATCCTTGAGGAGAACACAGACAGCAACCTCTTCGACCTCAGCCGCAGCAACTTCTTCCTAGAAACATTGCTAAGGACAAGGGAAGGAAGGGCAAAAATGAACTACTGGGATTTCATCAAGATCAAAAGCTTTTGCATAGCAAATGAAACAGTTAACAAAACCAAAAGACAACTGACAGAATGGGAGAAGATATTTGCAAACGACATATCAGATAAAGGGCTAGTATTCAAAATCTATAAAGAGCTTAGCAAACTCAACACCCAAAGAACAAATAATCCAATCAAGAAATGGGCAGAGGACATGAACAGACATTTCTGCAAAGAAGACATCCAGATGGCCAACAGACACATGAAAAAGTGCTCCCCCTCACTTGGCATCAGGGAAATACAAATCAAAACCACAATGAGATACCACCTCACACCAGTCAGAATGGCTAAAATTAACAAATCAGGAAATGACAGATGCTGGCGAGGATGCGGAGAAAGGGGAATCCTCCTACACTGTTGGTGGGAATGCAAGGTGGTGCAACCCCTCTGGAAAACAGCATGGAGGTTCCTCAAAAAGTTGGAAATAGAGCTACCTTACGACCCAGCAATTGCACTACTAGGTATTTACCCTAAAGATACAAACATAGTGATCCGAAGGGGCATGTGCACCCAAATGTTTATAGCAGCAAGGTCCACAATAGCCAAACTATAGAAAGAACCTAGATGTCCATCAACAGATGAATGGATAAAGAAGATGTGGTAAATACATACAATGGAATATTATGCAGCCATCAAAAGAAATGAAATCTTGCCATTTGCAACAACATGGATGGAACTGAGTGAAATACATCAATTGGAGAAAGACAACTATCATGTGATCTCTCTGATATGAGGAAGTGAAGATGCAACGTGGGGGGTTTGGAGGTTAGGGAAAGAATAAATGAAACAAGATGGAATCGGGAAGGAGACAAACCATAAGAGACTTTTACTGTCACAAAACAACTGAGGGTGGCCGTGGGGAGGGGGGTTGGGAGAGGGTGGTGGGTTTATGGACATTGGGGAGGGGATGTGCTATGGTGAGTGCTGTGAAGTGTGTAAACCTGGCGATTCACAGACCTGTACCCCTGGGGCTAATAATACATGATATGTTTATTAAAAAAATTTTTTTAAATGTGCTTAGAGGGGTGTCTGGGTGGCTCAGTGGGTTAAAGCCTCTGCCTTCGGCTCGGGTCATGGTCTCAGGGTCCTGGGATCGAACCCCGAGTCGGGCTCTCTGCTTGGCGGGGAGCCTGCTTTCTCCTCTCTCTCTGCCTGCCTCTCTGCCTACTTGTGATCTCTGTCTGTCAAATAAATAAATAAAATCTTAAAAAAGAAAACGTGCTTAGAGCACATTTACTTTTTGCTTTCATAAGGTCTGACCTGTGGTATCAAGTGAGAACATCATCTAAGATTTGAGCTCAGACATTTAAAATAACCAGTCGGTCTTCAGCTCTAAAATTACATGCATTCCCCTTGCGGCCGACCACTTTCAGCACCAGAGAAACAAAAATTTCTCCTTAGAATAAATGTAGTGAAAATGTCCATGCACTATGGATCTGACAGCAGTTGACTATCAATGGAGAGGGGAAGGGGGGCCCAGAGCTTTACCCGCCAGCACAGCATCCTGGTCTATGTGTACATGGATTTCTCTGATAATTCAACTAGTGGGAAGAGACAACTGGGAAGCAGGAAGCTCAGAGGCATGCACTCTCAGGAAAAGTCTAAGGGAAAAGAAGAGGTGACCTGAGTGCAAAATTCCCATGCTTCCATGGCCTGTCTACTGCTAGCCCTCTCCTGGGCTGCCTTCCTCTGCCAGGACTGCAGGCTGCAGGGAAAGCCAGCACGAAGATGGAAGACTGGTTTCTGAAGGAACTACTACCTCTCTGTTCTGCCTCTTCCACTCCTCTCCACAACTTTCCGGGGAGGTGAAAAATCAAGTGTTCACTAGGCTTGTAGTCACTGTTCACCACACATTACTATGCATGTTTACTCAACTGCAAATTCTGCCCAACAAAAGGCCCTGCCCTAGATGCCACAGGGCCTACAAAAACAAAACTAGGTGTGGCTGGCTCCAGGCTTCAGAAAGCCTGCAGGGTAGTAAGCCAAGGTACATGGCCTAGGCACAAATAAATGCAAGAAATCAGAGGAGAAAAAAGGGGAAGAATAAGTGAAGACCGTCGAGTGGACGGATTCTGATCCACATCTTCCAGGTGGAAGAAAGCATTCCTATAGCAGGAAGAAGAGCATGCTTCAGAGGCAGAAAAGTCTGAGCATGTGGCAAGAGAGCGACAAGAAGTCCAGTTGGGTGGGAGCAGAGTGAACGTGTGGAGAGCAGTACAAGTGAAGGCTGGAATGGCAGGCCAGTATCTTATGTATGTAGTATCACTGTGCAGTATTAAGAGCACTGGACCAAGAGTCAGAGGCCTAAGTCTCATCTGGTTTTTGCCACTGTCCAGCTGTGTAACCACAGATAAATGCCTTTCTGTTGGCCATCGCTGTCATCCAAAAAGTCTGGGTGGCAAACAATACAAAGCTGACCCTTGAATAACGCAGGGTTAGGGCACTGACCACTTGCACAATCAAACATCTGCACAGAACTTTTGATACCCCCAAAACTACTACTACTTGGCTACTGTTGACCGGAAGCCTTACCAATAACATACAGTTGATTGAACATATATTTTGTATGTTATACGTTTTATATACTGTATCCTTCCAGTAAAGTAAGCTAGAGAAGGACACATTTTTTAAAAGTCACAGGAAAAACTACATTTATAATACTTACTAAGGTATTTGACAAAAAACAAAACAAAACAAAACAAAAAAACCCCACGTAGAAGTGGACCCAGGCAGTTCCAACCTGGTTGGTCAAGGGTCTACTGTAATTGTGAAGAATCTTACTAGTGGTCTGAGCTCCAGCTGGAGGAGTTTAAAGATCCCATCTTGTGCACAGATACCAGTGACAGCAAAAAGAGACTCACACTTCCAGGGGGGCAGAATCAAGACCTGGCTGGAAGCTTTTCAGTCATCTCACCTGAACTCCTCCCCATCGCTGAGGGCTTCATCCTTCACAACTGTGGGGTTTTCAGATTTAACAGTCACCTTGGCCACCTTCTTTTTGGCTGGACCATGGGCAGGGCCCCCAGGATCACTGCAGCCTCTCTTCCTCTTTCCTTGTGAGACTTTGGAGAGAAGGCTTGTCTTTAACGGTTTCTCGTCTTCCAAGACATCTAGATGACCACAAAGAACACAAGGTAAGTGACACAGGAAAGGCACAGGCAGTGTGCCTTCACAGGCAGGTGATGGAAAGCCCTCTTCTGTCACCTCCCTCCAGACCCCATCTCCATCGCTGGGACACCATTCCACTTATTCCACAACCAGCCTCCAGCCTCCTCCTACCTCCAGCCCAGTATACACCCTGCACTCCCAGTAAAAACCAGCTTCCTTTATCGGGGTTTATTCCATTGCCTCGCGAGGTTACATGGAATGCCACATGACCCTAGTAAAACCTGGCTTCCAAATCTCAAATTTCAGCTAATAGCCAGGAAGGAAAAATACATCAATCTGCTAGTAATACCTTGCTTACTTATTACTTGCCAAGACTAGTTACTTTAGGAGTAACCCACTATTAAGTAAATGTTTTGAGCTCATAAACATGTCCAAGTTTTATCACAACCTTACTATTACTAATCCATGTTTCTACTACCTTTCAAAACCAAATCCTGCTCAAAATATACTTCATAAAACCTTTCTAATCTAACCCAAAAGTATACTCATACACCATCCATCTCAGCAAGCTTAGGGTTGGAATAAGACAGTAGTAATTCAAAAATACCTTTATTTCCTTAAAATAATTGTTGTTTTTGATAAAGGGAGATTTTAAAAATGTACAGGCTACTGGCTTTAGTTAAATTAGGGTAACTAAAGGTATGGTCTGTTTCTTAATATATTAATAAATCAATTTTCAATAAAGAATAAATAACATAGCAGGGGAAGATATCTTCTATTTTGCAAATATATTCATAAAAATAATCCTGAATCTGAAATAAAGCATCTTCGTCTTTCCACTTCAGTTAATTTTGGAAAACAAAAATACTTTAGTCGTTTTTGAGGTTCCAAAAGGAGCAGCAATACTAACCTAATATCAGATTGTTTATTCCTTTCATTTATGTTTTGTTCTACTGACTCTACTGATAGATATTTATATTCCCCAAGAATATACTCTTGCATGGGAGAAAAGCTCTCCCTTTCGATCTAAATAAAATCATAATTTTAATAGATTTCTCCTAGTAGTAGGGCATTTGTTCTAACACTAGATAAAATCACTAATTCAGTTCAGTTTCTTTACGATGTTTTATAAAAGGAATTCAGGCATTCTCATGCTTTAAACATTTTAACCAAAACACAAACAATTTCAAAATTCTTTCCAATCTGAGACGCTTCTTATTCCAAGGCCAGAAGCTGCTTAAAGGTTTATGACTTGACAGTTTGAGTAGGATGTTCCTGACATCAGAGGATTTCTGGATCTTTTCACACTTTTTAGCCATCTATGAACACATGTGCAAAAAAGGTGTGAAATGCTTCATTTTTACTAATCTAAAAACACAGGTGGAAGGATAACTCAAAAGCACCATTTCTTCCATACCAAACTTATACAGTTGGTTAAAAAGTACAACTGTGTCTATTTTTGTGCTTTGAAGAAAGAGTTAAAGGAGTCAAAAGGGAGCAAGAATGGAAACAAAAAAATCTGAATCAAAAAAATTTCCAAGGGCGCCTGGGTGGCTCAGTGGGTTAAAGCCTCTGCCTTCGGCTCAGGTCATGATCTCAGAGTCCTGGGATGGAGCCCCACATCGGGCTCTCTGCTCAGCAAGGAGCCTGCTTCCTCCTCTTAAAAAAAAAAAAAAAATTTCCACACGATTATTTTCAATCATTCCCCCCATCTGTGGTTTCAGTTGGTGGGGGGAAGGGATCAACCAGAGTAGAAGCCGATGATCCCCCTTCTGACACTCTCCTGAAGGTCAAGAGTAGCCTAAGACTATGTCACAATGCCTAAGTCATTCACTCAGTCACTTAGCATTTTATCATCTCACATCACCTTAAGAATTAGAAGGCTGAGTACAGTACAATTAAGATACTTTAAGAGAAAGAGAACATATTCACATAACTTCTACTACAGTATATTGTTTTAACTGTTCTATTTTATTATTAGTGGCTATTAATCTCTTACTGTGCCTAATGTGTCAATTAAACTTTATCATAGGTATGAACATATAGGAAAAAAAACACAGCATATACAAGGTTTGGTACCACCCATGTTTCAAGAATCCATTAGGCTGGGGGGTCATGGAATATATATCCCTGCAAATAAGAAGGGGGACTACTCTAATACCCGTAAATTTTTAAAATCTGCATGCCCAACCATGATATAATCATTATGCACATACATTAGAATATTAACTCAGTCATCTTTTAAGACAGAGGAAAATGACATGATAAAATGTTAAACATGCAAAATTGTTTTTACAGTATGGTTTCCACTACTTAGAAAAACAGATGAGAAGGAAATATGCCATTATTTCTGGATAGCAGAAATACAGGTTACTTTTTTTTTTAATTCTTTACACTTTTGGGGTCCCAGAGAATCCAAAGGCTATTTTCTAGGCCTCTCTTAAGATCTAGAGCTACCTAACCAGTCTCCTTGAGCTCAATATGGTAATTTCAGAAGGGCAGGAATTGTCACTTTGGTCTGCTTAGCCTTCTATTGAGGTTTTTAAATACCTGCTTAAAACTGCGAGTACTTAGAATAAAATATGAACTCCTTAACTTGGTTTCCAGACAAGGGTCCTGCTTACCTTTCCCGCCTCAATTCCTACTACTTGCTTCTCACTGTGTCCAGTCGTGTGCCAACCACGTTTCATTTCCTCCTCCGTCTTTAAACATACTGATTCCTCTGCCTATTAACTCTTCCCTGAGAACTTCCTTTGAAAAGCTCCTGCGGGACACTAATTGCTTCAAAGTTTCACCTCCTCAAAACAGGTGTCCCTGGACCACTGACTCTGACTTACTTCCCCCCAACCCTGCCACCCCCATGTCAGTTCTATTACCTTTACCTCTCTTCATAACTCTCATCACCATGTGAACTTATTTAACTTTTTATTGTCTGCCCTACCAAGACCTCCCCACAAACTGTAAGCATCGTGACAGCAGGGACCTTGCCTGACCCATTCACTACTAGAATTTTAGTGCCTAGAACAGTCTCTGGAAATAGCAGGTGCTCAGTAAATACTTGTTGAAGGAATTAATGAGTCACATCAATGAAAGCATTAACACAATGAAGAAACATGAAGAAATTAGAGATGCCCTAATAGAAACAAGGAAATACTGTGGAAGACGGTTTTCTTTGACCCTAAATGTTGAATGATGCCAGGGGTCACCTTGGCATGCACTGAGGTGCTGTTAGAAACCACACTGAAGGTCACTGAGTCAGTGTCACCTGTAGCCCAAACCACAGCCAGATTTTTCCTCCACCAAGCACAGCAGAGGTAGTAACTCTTCCTGGAAGCTGCCTTGGGAACTCACCGGTTAGCTCCTCCAGTTCAATTTCAGTGAAGCTTGGGTGCATCCTTGCCTACACCTAAGCTGAACTGATAGAAGCTAGGCCATCTGATTACCTGATATGGACCACGGCAGGAGTGCCTATCTCACTGAAAACTCACAACCACCCTGAAAGACAGTAATATGTTTCAGGGCAGCTAAACTATTTGTCCAAGATAATTTACACAAGTACATATGAACAACTACTAATTGTTGGAGCTGCACCAACCTGGCATCCAAATAAAGTGTTCAGCGGGAAGGAATGGTACCCAGGCAGGTGGAATTTCCATCAGATTACAACTTCTAATTTTTGAACTGTCGTATATTCAGAATATATTCTTTCTGACTGGAAATAAAAACCCCTTTCATAGCCATTTGCTAAAATGTTACTCATTCTCAAAGTCGCAGATCAAACATAACTCCTTCAGAGAGCATTTCCCAATCTCTCCAAACTTGATTATTCCTTCAGAAGCCACAAAGCCTGGTACCTTCTTCCAATGTATCACACTGTCTTGAGTATTTCTTGTAAACATCAACACTACGGTACTTTAAGCTCCTCCAAGTAATCTCTCTCATGTCAACTAGCGTGTGCACGGCACATATCAGGTATCCCAAAAATGTTATCTGAATGAGTAAATGAATAAAGTAGAACTCATAGCATTAACCATGAGGTTAATCACCTTCTAAGTTTAGAAATGACTTCCATTTGCCTATTTACTAACGGATGATGAACTTATGTAAAGAATCACAGGATTATTGAATCTAGGGTCATAGGAGTCCTTGCTAGTTACCTAATCCACACAGATTATTTCAAGAACCCCAGAAATCCCTTCTACAGCATGCTTTATGCAATTATTTAAGATATTTACTGAGGACTTAATAAATGCACAGCAAGAGAGAACAATATAGGACACAGCAAAAATAAAACATGTTTCATAAACTTAAATTGTGGGAAGATAAGCAAAAAAGAAGTAAATTAACAAGATCATTACATTATGTGACAGAGGCTGTTAGGGCCTGTGACAGAGAGTACCTGGGGAAGATCACCTTAGATAAGGCACTCAAAGTGGTGTGATTTCTGAAGGAACAGAAATCTGCCACCCTAGAGCCATGGAGAAAGGAACATCAAAGCCAAAGGCTCACGGTGAGAAATAACATGGCATGTCTGAAGAACAGAAAGGAAGCCAGTAGAGAGGGTATCTGACAGAGTCATAGGAGACAACAAGAGAAGAAGCAGCAGCCAAATCACGTAACGTCTTGCAAGCCATGGTAAGGAATTTGGATTTTAGGCCAAGAGCAATGGAAAGCCACAGGTCTGACAGAGGAACATGGCATGATTCGATTTTTTTTTTTTTTAATCACCTGGGCTGCTGGGTGGGAAAACCACTGCAGGGGGATAAAGAAAAGTAGGGAGTCCAGTAAAGAGGCATCTGTAATTGTTCAACTGAAAAGTAATGGTGGCTTTAGGCAGGGATTGTGACCGTGGAAACAAAGAGAGGTGAAGAGATTTGAGATACAGATGGATTAGATGTGTACCTGTAAGGGAAAGGTGTGCTTAAGAGCTAATTTAATTTCTGAAATGCCATATATTCAGAATGGGAAAAGGTGGGGAAATAGGTTTAAGGGGGAAATCAGGAGTTTTGCTTTGCCCTTGACAAATATAAGAAATATATTTGATATCCAGGTGGAGAATTCAGATTGGATCCGAATCTGGAACTCTGGGGTGAGATTTAACTGAAGATATTATTCTGGGAGTCCGCAAACTACAGCACTCTGGTCCATCCGTCTTCTGGGACCACAAAACAACTGCAATGCCTTTTTCCCTATTCAGCTGTTTGCATCTGCAGGAGGCTGGAGCGTATCCTGTGGGTAACCGGGAGGAAAAAAGAAGCTACGCGCGAGAGCCAATGTCAGGTAGAACTCCAGGGGGAACGCCTAGGGCGCATCACTCCTCACGAGGACTAATGAGCAGCGACGTCGATAAGGACTAGAGCACAGACACAACCGCCTGTCTCCCCCTGCAGCGTAACGTCGTCTCCTCTGGGAAGATGGACACGGGGCAACCTACGCCCCCCACCTCCCAGAGCCCGGCCTCCCCGCTCCCCGCACCTTGCCTCCTGCCCTCCACCAGCATATCCCCCTAAGGCCGGCTAGATATCGCTCTCACCCGCCTCCTTCTTCTCACGCCCGGCCATGCTCTCGCCCTTGGCCTTCCGGCCGCAGGGTTCGCGTCCTTGCGGCTCCCTACCGGCCGCGCGCTTCCGAACCATATTGCCCAGGCAAGACTCCCCTAGAGAGTGACGCACCACACCACGGAAAGCTGAGAGCGGACTCCGCCCCACAGGGGGAAAGACACCGCAACGCCCCTTCCTTACGGACCTAATTAAGCCCATGAAGCTCCGCCCAGCCTCAAATGACCAATACAAACACTATGAAGCAAGACGGCGCGTAGCAGTCTGTTCTCCTTCCGTCGCATTGCATTTTCGCATTTCCGGAGACAATAACGAGGGGCTCGCGTACTCCCGCGAGAGGAGGGAAAGGGCGCAGGGTTTGAAACATGGCGGACGACGTGGACCAGGTGAGTGAGTTCTGAGGCGCTCGCTCCAGGAGTACTTCTTTGCTACGGGTTCTGGCCCCGCTGGGCTTTGCGTACCAGGGCTACCCTTCCAGCCTCACCGGAAGGTAGCCTGTCATGCCGCCTGTTTCTGGGTTATCACGGCTTTAAGCTGCCTCTTGGTAACCGCGCCTCCTCCGAATTTTGTCTCAGGCCCTGAGATGTTTTCCTTTTCGAAGCCAGCCTGAAAACTACTTATTCTTCATGCTGTTTACTTCCTTTCTCTTGAATCTCATCTTCATCTGCAGGATGAGAATGATTATCCCTGCCTGCCTTACGGATTCTGATAGAAAGCGTGATAATAAAGCTTACTAGTTACGATTATTGAGCGCAGCAGTTTCATTTATCCAACAGATACGTAGTAAACATCGGCTTTATATGGTTAGATACCGTTCTGTGCACCAGAGACACCGGCATTGACGAATATCCCTGTCCCCACTTGGAGCTTATATTCTGGGGAAGGGCAGATAATAGAAACATGTGCAATAGGTAGGAACTGTGATGTGGTATGAGGAAAACAAGCAAGGAATCGGTATATAAAATAGGTTAATGGTCCTGCAGGCTTTCTCATCTGCTCTTCTTTTCCCCAAAATCCTTTTCCTCAGATATATGTGTGGGTCAGGCCGCAACTTAAGCTTTCTCCTGAAATCTCAGCCTCAAGCAGGACTCATGTGGCTGCCTACGTAAAACAGCACTCTTTCTTAGTCGTCTTGATTTTTCTTCATAACATGTTGTTAATATTAAATATACTCTTCGTTATTCAGTGTCTTATCTTCCCTTCCAGAATATGAGTTTTGTTTGTTTGTTTGTTTGTTTGTTTTTTAATTTTTAAAGGTTTTACTTGTTAGAGCACAGCAGGGGTAGGGGTAGAGGGAGAGAGAGAAACTGACTCCCCACTGAGCAGGGAGCTGGTGGTGGGTCATGATCCCAGGACCGGCGATCATGACCTGAGCTGAAGGCAGATCCTTAGCCTACTGAATCCAGGCACCCAGAATATGAGTTCTTTAAGAACAGGAGTTCTGGGCACCGTCCTGACCATCCTGTTTAGAACAGTGCTGGAAACACTGAACAAATAATTTACTGAACAGATGAATTGGTTAATCCTTTGAAATGGCAGTATTTAAAGCTACAAGAGGAAGAGTATGTGGCTAGTGGGCATTCTAGACTAAGCCTAAAGAAGCGCTAGGGCTCTGTGGTGTGTATCTTATAGTATTACTGTATATTTGTTAATATGCCTCTCCCCACTAGAATGAACTCCTTGAGGGCAGGGACTGATCTATCATCTAGTAGTTGGTTAGCTCTTCCTTAACAAACACCTGTTTAACTGGGAGTGGGAACCAGTTTGGTTCCCCACCCACCTCCACACCCCAATCTAGCTTTTTTTTTTTTTTAAAGATTTTATTTATTTATTTGAGAGAGAGACAGTTAGAGCATGAACAAGGAGAAGGTCAGAGGGAGAAGCAGACTCCCCATGGAGCTGGGAGCCCGATGCGGGACTCTATCCCAGGACTCTGGGATCATGACCTGAGCCGAAGGCAGTCGTCTAACCAACTGAGCCACCCAGGCATCCCCCAATCTAGCTTTTTAAGCTGTAGAGCCTGTAGCATTCAGTCACATACCTTCACTAGCCTAATGTACTCACTGAAGAAGCTCTCCTTGAATAATCTCATCAACTCCTGGCTTCAACCATCCCTTGCATTTGGATGACTCAAAGTCATCTTAGCCCTGATCTGTCACAGTTCTTTAATTGTTAATAACAAGAATCATTTCTAAGTACTCTCAGATCTCCAGGTACTACTTTAAATACATTAAATATGTTGATTTAATATATTAGCTCATTCTACACTCACAAGATACGAAGGGAAGACCTGGCTTCCTCATTTTACTAACAGGGAAGCTGATAATTAGAGATGGCATGATTTTTAATCTGAATTCATAAGTATCACAGGGTGTCTGGGTGGCTCAGTTGGTTAAGCATTTGACTCCTGATTTTGGGTCAGGGTGGTGAGATCAAGCTGCAAATGGAGCTGTGCACTGGGCATGGACCCTGCTTAAGATTCTGACTTTCCCTCTGCCCCTCTATAAGTGACAGTACGTACTGTCTCATAAATTAAGTAATTGATAATACAGGTTTGAATTCATGTAAGTATCAGATTCAGGAGTTGAACCCATACTGCCTGACTTCAAAGCTAGTGCCTTCAACCAGTATTCTATATATTCATCTTGTGGCCAGTTGGTACCCTAAACTCAACCTGACCCAAACTGAACCCATAATCTTCCCTCAACATTCATGTTTCCTTAGCATTCTAACTAGTGTGTGTGGTAATCATTAAGTGGATGTTTTTCAAATCACTAAGTGATATTTGAGGTAAGGCTAAAGTCCCAGAGAGTAACTTCCTATAACTGAAATTGGGTTAGGCAGTTTGGATTTTGAGGGAACAAATAACAGTGAAGATTATTTTGCCGTAAAACTGCTTCCTGTGTATGTATGTTTCAGCCTTCATTTATACAGCACTTACTATGATCCAGGCTCTGTTCTAAGCCTTTGTACATGTCATTTAAGCCTCACAACAACAGTATTAGATTGGCACTATTATTACTCACATTTTACATACTCGGAGACTGAGTCATACAGGGGTCAAGTAACTTGCCCACAGTCACACAGTATAGCAATGATTTGAACACTGCACTCTCTAGTTCTGTATTACTAAGCCTGTTTCTTTCATCAGCAACAAACCACCAACACCGTAGAAGAGCCCCTGGATCTCATCAGGCTCAGCCTGGATGAGCGAATTTATGTGAAAATGAGAAATGACAGAGAGCTTCGAGGCAGATTACATGTAAGTAAATTTATTAAATTACTTTGAAATCAGATTATTTCCTTGTCATCCCTTACTAACCCAACCCCTTTGAAATATAAACACTGTCCAGTGTAGAGGAGTATTTTGAGTGTAGATAAGAGAAAGGTAGGTCATCCATATTTGTATAAGCCAGATGGAACTGCATTTTGTTTATGTTTTTAACATGTTTTCCCCTCACAGAAATGATGTGTTTATTAAAGAACATTTTCATTTCTTTCCTTCTGTTTATATGTAAATAGCATTTAGTCTCCATTCTTACTTCAGTGTTCTTTCAGTTACTGACATGTACATAAATCTTTGTTTTCTTGTGACAAAAATTAAATAGCATAGAAGTACATAGAGTGAAAGGTATAATCCCATTTTTTCTTTTGCTAACCACTTAAAAATCAGGTCTGTGGTCTTTCAGATCTTTTCTGTATATTTACACAAATATACATATATATGTGATCACATGCATATATATGCAGTGTATACACCACCTCTAAATAAAAATGGATCTTACTATACATGTTTTTGAGCACCTTTCTTTTTCACTTAATCTTTCTTGGAGATTATTGATCATGAGTGTATATAAATCTTTATTCTTTTTAATGACAGCATAGAATTCTATATGGTAATAGTGGGTTTTTAAGACTGTTCTCTATTTTGGGGCGCCTGGGTGGCTCAGTGGGTTAAGCCTCTGCCTTCGGCTCAGGTCATGATCTCGGGGTCCTGGGATCGAGCCCCGCGTCGGGCTCTCTGCTCGGCGGGAAGCCTGCTTCCCCCTCTCTCTGCTGCCTCTCTGCCTACTTCTGATCCCTCTCTCCCTCTGTCAGATAAATAAATGAGATCTTTAAAAAAAAAAAAAAAAAAAAAAAAAGACTGTTCTCTATTTCTTGCTACTATAAATAATGCTGTAGTATGTATCTTTATACATATTTCTTTGTGTATATCCTCAAATATTTCTACAGGTTTGGTCCTTTGAAGTGGCACTATTTATTCAAAAGAGTATACTGAACGTTTTGCTCTTTCTTGACAACTCGTTCTTTTCCTGAGTATATTGTTTTTATTACTGCCATTCTACCTTAAAGTGATTTAAAATAGCTAGTATTTTTGAGCATTAATTACATGCCAAGTGCATTTATTATAAATGTTTTGTGTGGGGGCACCCGAGTGGCCCAGTCAGTTAAGCGTTCGACTCTTGATTTTGTCTCAGGTCATGATCTCAGGGTCATGGGATTGAGCCACACCTCAGGCTCCACATTCAGCACAGAGTCTGTCCCTCTCCTCCGGCTCTTCTCTCAAATAAATGAATGAATTTTTTTTTTTAAGATTTTATTTATTTATTTGACAGATCACAAGTAGACAGAGAGGCAGGCAGAGAGAGGGGGAAGCAGGCTCCCTGCTGAGCAGGGAGCCTGATGCGGGGCTCAGTCCCTGGACCCTGAGATCATGACCTGAGCCAAGGACAGAGACTTTAACCCACTGAGCCACACAGGTGCCCCTTGAATGAAATAATTAAAAAAAAAATAAATGAATAAGTTTTGTATGTAATACCTCATTTAACCTTTAGAACAATTCTGTGAGGGTAGATACTTACTAATCCTGTTTTGCATTTGAAGAAGCTCAGGCTCAGAAAGGTGAAGTTACCTGCTTAAAGTTTAACATCCAGTAAAGGAAGGGCCAGAATAGGAACTAGGCCTTTTGACTGCAGCCCTACTCTTTTTAAGTACTTTGATTCTACTTTCCATAAAACCTAAAGTGAAGGAAGTAGGGACCTAGGGAGACAGTAGCCTTAATAATACACAGCTAGCTTTACGAGAAGAGGGACCCCCGGAAATGGAATAGTGGC